TAAATGAAGTTTCAAGAATGAATTTAAGCCTATGTTTCCATTATAAGTTGACAACTGATGAAGGAGACAAACAACATTGAATAACAAGGTGCATAATGTATTGTTTAAAAGGGAACCTTTACTCCACCACGCTCATATAGAACTATGATAAAACGCCTCAAGCAAATGTACTTGCTCTCCTCATCTGGATTTGAAATGATTGCACAGTAGGCATCATTCAGTAAATTAAGATCTAAAGTAAACTTGAAGACATTTGCCCAAAGTCGTCCTTTCATTGTAGTGACTGATTCAATGAATGGATCTCTGGCATCGCCACCATCTTTCAGATTAAGAGCCTCATCAACTTGCTCAAGTGCAGCAAGAGCAAACTGGCAGGCACCTTCACTAATGTTATATTGCTCAAATATTTGCATCGCCCACTGATAGTAATAAAGCTTCCATGCAGCAGCTGACACCTTACCATCTGAAGTTTTCCCTATCGCCCCAAGGCCCCAAGAGAAAGAAAACATAAATCCATCCATATCTCAAAAAAATATTAAAAAAAAGGAAAAACAAAAACCATCTGCTTGTTCAGGACATAACTATGATTTTCACCTAATAAACTTACTAAAGCTGAGATGTGGAAATCCTGCTTCATTAGACAAGTTCTGCAAAGCCTCAGAAGCACATTCTCCTGATGAAGCTCTGAAGAAACAAGAAAGATTTGTGTAATAAATGAGCAAACAAGCACATAGCTAAAACTAAAGTAACTAACTACAACCTGCTAGATATTCACCCAATAATTACTGAGGACAAACATAGTATAAACTATCAAAAGAAATTCTGCAGTTCCGTCGCATACGCAGACTAATTTGCAGCCATTTCCAGACAATAGGAAGAAAATAAAGGCTGGTACTAACATATTCACAATAATAAATTGACAAATTAAGAGAACATCAAATACCGGAAAAAACATCGAACAGCTTCCTCAATTTTTCTCTCCTTTAAGGTTCCTCTTAATCCACGCTGTGCTTGATTGAGAAAGCAACATCCCAGGAGATGTTGGAGTAGGCACCAATCACCACTAGTATCCTGAATACTTCTAAAAATTTTCTCCCTTCGTGAATTTTCCTCCACCGCAATAAGTAGGGACTTAAATGACAAAAGATTAAAAGAAAGAGTACTGGCATCAGTTAGAACAAAAAGGCAAGTTACATGTGTACCTCAAAGAAAGAAAAGCAAGTTATATGTATGGATATCTAATGAAGATTCTTTTGAAGTGGAAGGCAGGGAACTAACCTCAACAGCATCATATTGTCCATTCCTAAGTAAGATAACAGCAAGCTCAGTTGAACGTCTCAGGAATGATGAAGATTCATCTCCCATTTTACCCCATATTATCCAGCTGATAAAATTCCACATGAGAGTATTAATAATTTGTGTACTGGGGAGAAATCTTGAAGAAAGTTGTTTCTGTACTCCTGTATAACTTTGACTACTCAGTAGAAGCACCATTGCCAATGTGAAATCACATTTCCCAAGCCTCTTATCCCTTGATCTTTTATTAAAGTTGCCATCTGAGTAGATGAAAAGAGACAAGAATTTCAAGCCAAAGTCATATGACTGATTTCTGCCAATCTCAAATAATCAAAAACCTGTAACATTTTTGCAGAGCACCTAAAATGGTTGAGCACATTTCACTCTTCTCCCACCAGCCCTTAAAATGGTGACCTTAGCCCTACAAAGGAACAAATTCCTCCCAATCCAAGAGCTTTCAACACTAAATTTTACCCTCATTAAGGATAATTTCCATTAGCTTATTACTTGATTCCCTTGAACAAATTTGTTCCTTCCCATCTACCACTAAATAAACGACCTCAATTTTACAGTTACAAACGTATCACCCAAACAATTTTGAAAAGACGGAATAAAATTTATCATATGAACTAAAATTAACATTTCAAAAGAATAATTATTCTTTTTTTTTTTTACTTAGTGGCATATGTTAGAGGATAATTAAGTTCTCTTTTTCTGTTCTTTTTTTAATGAAATAGAAGAAATTTGGATATTTAATTTCGAAGAACCCATCTTAGAGTATTTATTAAATATGTAAGTCACATACTAATATCAGATAAGAAAATATAAAATTTCCAAACAACCAAAAACTTTGATAGTAGATCCAATTTTAGTTACAGTATGTTAACTTCTCGAGTCTCCTATGTTATCATTTCAATTTAAATTTCATATAGCCACTAAATTCCTCATTTGCTTCGTTTAATTACAACGGATAACATATATCAGTTCCTTTTTCTTTCTTCTTTTAATTACAAAACTGTGGGAAAATTGAATTTTTGTCTAATTTCTGTAAATTATGTTAGAGCATAATATCAAATTTAGAAATGCAAATATTAAAAATACCACATAGAATAACATATAATCTACAAACGAATATCAATAAGTATGAGGAGACTCCATTTGTAGGCATTTTCCTTCTAGAAATATATTAGAAACTATATTCTGAAAGAAAACATAGATATAAATTCTTCTGTGGATTGTAGCTGAGTCTTTGCAGCCAAATCCCAAATTTATTAAATACATTTCCCATTTTAATGAAAATAACCAAGACTATTAAATCACTATATATAAATTTTGGTATGACCAAGTCAAGCTAACAATTCTACCTTAAAACCCCAATATAACTCACCGATTTGCAATGATGAAAGCTGAGAACTAAAATCTTCAATTGAAGCGATTCAGATGGAGAGGTGCTAAAGAAGAAAATAATGGACCACCTCGAAAGCAATTTCTTGAATGAACGAATCAGCTCGAGTTTTATTT